TTGTGCCACTCCCAACAGAAATAACCCAGGTGGATAGCTTCAGCAATCAGGGGCTGCTCAATTGCTCATACAAAATCCCACCTTGGAGTTTACAAAGACTTAAGGGTAGAAAAGCCACACTAAGTAATTTACTACACCGCACCTGGTTTGGTGACCACAGGTTTGGCAGACCATCGCTGAACTGAATACTAACAGATGGGCAGAATGATGTCAGGCAGTGTAGGGTTAAGCAGTAATCATCAGCATTGTTGTCTCCATTCTGCCTGTAATTAGTGCCTGAGATAAGCCACTTAATTCTGAATTTCAATTTCCTGGCCTATAGAATGCAAAATTGGTAGTATGAAATAGTATGAAATTAATTAGTTCTGCTGAACTGTAAACACAGTATAAATTTAATAATCTTATCCATTCTTAAAGATGTAGTTTATCTCCTACTTGCTCTAGTCACTTTATCTACCTTCTGCTGCTTTGTAATTCAGCTTTTCCTTTTTAAAAAAAAATAATAATAAGTCTCAGATGTGGGAGCGCTGATGGCATAGTGCCTAAGGCATTTGACTGCTCATCGGAAGGCTGGCGGTTCAAACCCAGCAGCCACTCCTTGGAAGGAAGATTGGGGAATCTACTTGTATAGTGATAACTGCCTCAAACCCAAGGTGGAGAGTTGGATCTGATTCAACAGCAATGAGTTTGGGTTTTGTTTTGTTTTTGTTTTTGTTTTTTAGGTTTCTCAGATGCAGAAGAGGACAATCTATCTTCTTTTCTTCTTTAGTAGCTTTTTGTTTTCTTTTTTAACTATTTACAGAACAGACCAAAGAGTGGAAAAGTATTCTTAGGAATTTTTTTTTCTCTTTTTTCCTCTATTTCAGATAAAGGAGATGGGTGAGATACATAGAGAACTGAATGCATAAGTACTATAAATGGAAGAGTACCAGAAGAGAAATTAACATGGACTTGGATTACAAATGTACAAGCATGAGAGGAAGAGAAGATTGAGGATTACTATTATGTTAGTTAACAGCATATAATAGTGAAACTTGTACTCAAAATATAAGCAGCTTGAAATTGGCTTTACCAATCTTAAAGTTTGACCACAAGTGTCTTATATATGTGCAGATATAATGCAAAACCCAGAACTTTTACTGCATAGTTAAAATTATTTATGTACAATTTTGGACTGTGTGCATTAAATAGCATTCCATTGTAGAGTTTTAATGACTACTGTCGCATTCATTTGTGATTGAAAGCTGCCTTTCTATTTTTGAGTCTTGTACATATTTTCTCTAATTTCTTGTAACATTTTTTATGAATTCTAAAATAAAAACATTTTGAAACTGAATTTCCTAATTTTGTTTGAATCATTGGATCAAATCTCATAGCATACTTAAGATGAAGGGTAAGAATTGTCCTGAATGCCAACTACACATTAAATAGTTTTACATGTACTTTACATTTACAATGGATAATATATAATATGTACTCGACGGCACATAACAACAACAACAACAACACTGAAAAATAATTTTTATCCTGAATGAATCTTAAGTTTGCATTTTAGACAAAGATTGATACTTTGGTATAACATTTAAACCTTCAGGGAGAATTGATGAAGAATGTCTAAGCCATGAATTCTGTGGTTGGCTGAGTTAGAAGCAAGTATTTAATGCACCAGATTTTCTCAGTATCTTACATAGTAGAGTACAAATGCATTTTGTTACCTAAAAAAGTTACAGGGAGTCCTTGATTTATGATGCATTCAAGTCAAACCGCACTTAAGATTTTTTTGTTTGTTTCTTGTATACCTTATTAATTAATAATATGTATGTTGTTGTTGTTATGTGCCGTCGAGTCAGCCCTGACTCATAGCGACCCTTCGGGTTTCTGAGGCAGTATCACTACGGAAGTGGGATTGCCCAACCTTCCTTCCGAGGAGTGGCTGGTAGGTTTGAACCGCCAGCCTTCTGGTTAGCAGTCAAGTGCCTTAGCCACTATGCTACCAGAGCTCCCAATAATATGTATACATAGTGTTATACCTGTAAGTTTATATGTAATGTTTCCAACACTCAAAGACAAAGATTGGATTTATAAAGATAATAGACAATAATAATGAAAACTTAAAAACAAAAGAGGTATTTGATTTGTTAGGACCAGTTTATGATGGAGTCATTGGAACAGAACCCCACTGTGAATTGGGAACTACCTGTACTATGAAGTTAAAGTATTCTGAAATATTTTGCTTTGCTTTTGAAAGGGAAATTTTTTTTAATATTCATTACTAAGTTCAAAAAACTACATTTAAGAAATATGGAAACTAGATTTAAACAATTACCTATGATTTCTGTCTCTTCAGTGATAGGATTCAAGGATGGCCCCCAAGATTTCTTATCTCTAGTGTTTCAGCCTTGCATAATTCCCTCACATTGAATATGAGCAGGGCCTGTGAATATGATGGGCTATCACTCTCATAATTATTACCTTATATGGCAAAGGTTGAAGGGATTTTACAGATGTTAGGAAGACCTCATCTGTTAGATTTGAACTAAAAGGGAGATTATATATTTTTTGGTTTTATACTGGGTGGGCCTGACCTAACCAGGGGAGCCTTTTAAAAGAGGGTCTAAAAGTAAGCAATGAGAAACAAATAGAGATCTTTCCTCTAGGCCTCGAAACAAACTTACTGTGGAAAGGGTACATGGCAAGAAGCAGTAGGTGGACTCATGGTGCTGTGTGGCTCAGTCCTACTATTACAAGGAATTGAATTCTGCCAACATCAATAATTTGGAAGAGGGTCCTGAACCATAGATTATAGATTATAGTCTTCCTGACACCTAGACTGCAGTCTTGTGAGACCTCAAGCAAAGGACACAGCTAAACTATACCTCCCATCACATGTCTGTCAATTTGTCATACTGTGGTGGCTTGTGTGTTGCTGTGAGGCTGGAGTCTATACCATACTATGGTATCTCAAACAACAGCAGGGTCACCCATGATGTACAGCGTTTCAGCAAAGCTTCCAGACTAAGAGACTGGTAAGAAGGAAGGGGCCATCCAAGTCTCAAAGAATTAGCCAGTGAAACACTGTCTGGTATATTACCGGAAACTATGAATAGCCCTGAAACATTGTCCAATATAGTGCCAGAAAATGAGCCCCTCAGGTTGGAAGATACTCAAAATATGACTGGGGAACAGCTGCCGCCTCAGAGTAGAGCCGACCTTAATGACATGGATGGAATAAAGCTTTCAAGACTTCCATTGGCTGATGTGGCACAGCTCAAAATGGGAAGAAACAGCTGCAAACATCCATTAATCATTGGAATGTGGAATGTACAAAGTATGAATCTAGGAAAATCTAAAGTTGTCAAAAAAACACATAAAGGTTGATATCCTAGGCGTTGTTGTTATTTGCCATCGAGTCGGACCCAACTCATAGTGACCTCTCCTTGGGTTTCCAAGGCGGTATCACTATGGAAGTAGATTGCCTTCTTTCCTTCCTAGGCATTAGTGAGCTGAAATTGATTGGTTTTGGCCATTTTGAATCAAACTTATGATCTACTATGTCAGGAATGACAAATTGAAGAGGAATGGTGTGGCATTCATCATCACAAAGAATGTTTCAAAATCCTTCCTGAAGTATGGTGCTGTCAGTGATAGGCTAATATCCATATGCCTACAAGGAAGACCAGTGAATACTACTGTTACTTAAATTTATGCACCAATCACCAAAGCCAAAGATGAGGAAATTGAAGGTTTTTACCAACTTCTGCATTCTGAAATTGACCAAACATGCAATCAAGATGTGTTGATTATCACTGGTGATTGGAATGTAAAAGTTGGAAACAGAAGAATCACCAGTATTTGGAAAATATGGCCAATGGTGGTGAAAATAATGCTGGAGACCACATGATAGAATTTTGCGAGACGAACGACTTATTCTTTGCAAATACCCTTTTTCAACAACACAAACAGTGGCTATACATGTGGACTTCACTAGATGGAGTACACAGGAATCAGATCAACTGCATCTGTGGCAAGAGGTGATGGAGAAGCTCAATATCTTCAGCCAAAATGAGGCCAGGAACTGACTGTGGAACAGACCACCAGTTGCTCATATGCAAGTTCAAGTTGAAGCTGAAGACAATTAAAACAAGTCCACAAGAGCCAAAATATGACCTTGATTATATGTTTCCCAAATTTAGAGACCATCTACAGAATAGATTTGATGCATTGAACACCAGTGACCGAAAACCAGAGGAATTGTGGGATGACATCAAGAACATCATCCATGAAGAAAGCAAAAGGTCATTAAAAAGACAGGAAAGGAAGAAAAGACCAAAATGGATGTCAAAAGAGACTCTGAAACTTGCTCTTGAATGGAGAGTAGCTAAAGCAAATGGAAGAAATGACAAGATAAAAGAGCTAAACAGAAGATTTCAAAGAGCAGTTTGAGAAGACAAAGTCAATTATTATAATGAAATGTGCAAAGACCTGGAGTTGGAAAACTAAAAGGGAAGAACACACTGGCATTTCTCAAGCTGCAAAAACTAAGGAGAAAATTTAAGGTTTGAGTTGCAGTATTGAAGGATTCTATGGGCAAAATATTGAATGATGCAGGAAACATCAAAAGAAGATGGAAGGAATACATAGAGTCACTATACCAAAAATAATTGATCAATGTTCATCCATTTCAGGAGATGGCGTATGATCAAGAACCAATGGTATTGACAGCAGAAGTCAAAGTTGCACTGAAGGAATTGGTGAAAAACAAGGCCAGGAATTGAAGGAATATCAATTGAGATGTTTCAACAAATTGATGCTGCACTGGAGGCACTCACTTACCCATGTCAAGAAATTTGGAAGGCAGCCATCTGGCCAACTGACTGGAAGAGATTGATATTTATACCCATTCCACAGAAAGGTGATCTCACAGAATGTGGAAATTATCCAACAATATCATTAATATGACATGCAAATAAAATCTTGCTGAAGATAATTCAAAAACTGACTGGAAGAGATCAATAGTTGTACCCATTCCAAAGAAAAGTGATCTCACAGAATGTGGAAATTATCCAACAATATCATTAATATGACATGCAAATAAAATCTTGCTGAAGATAATTCAAAAATGATTGCAGCAGTATATTGACAGAGAACTTCCAGAAATGCAAACTGGATTCAGAAGAGGACGTGGAACAAAAGATATCATTGCCGATGTCAGATGGATCTTGGCTGAAAGCAAGGAGTACCAGAAAGATGTTTACTTGTGTTCTACGGACTATGGAAAAGCATTTGTTTATGTGGATCATAACAAATTATGGATAACATTGAGAATAATGGGAATTCCAGAGCACTTGATTGTGCTCATCAGGAACCTGTCATTTGAACAGAACAAGGGGATACTGCATGATTTAAAATCAGGAAGGGAGTGTGGCAGGGTTGTATCCTTTCACATACTTATTCAATCTATATGCTGAGCAAATAATCAGAGATGCTGGACTATATGAAGAAGTATGTGGCATCAGGATTAAAGGAAGACACATTAACAACCTGCAATATGCAGATGGCACAACTTTGCTTGCTGAAAGTGAGGATGACTTGAAGCACTTACTGATGAAGATTAAAGACTTCAGTAAGTGGATTACACTTCAACATAAAGAAAATGAGAATCCTCACAAGTGGACCAATAAGCAGCATCACAATAAATTGAGAAAAGATTGAAATTGTCAAAGATTTCATAATTAACTTGTTTCCACAATCAACACCAATGGAAGCAGCAGTCAGGACATCAGATGACATATTGCACTGGGCAAATCTGCTGCAAAAGACCTCTTTAAAGCGCTAAAGAGCAAAGATGTCTCCTTGAAGACTAAGGAGCGCCTAACCCAAGCCATCATATTTTCAATCGCCTCATTTGCATGTTAGAGCTAGACAATGAACAAGGAAGACCAAAGAAGAGTTGATGCTTTTGAGTTGTGTTGACGAAGAATACTGAAAGACCATGGACTGCCAAAAGAATTAACAAATCTGTCCTGGACGAAGTGCAGCCAGATGCTCCTGGGAAGTGAGACTGGCCAGACTTTGTTTCACCTACTTTGGTCATGTCAGAAGGAACCATTCCCTGGAGAAGAATATCACTTGGTAAAGTGAAGGGTCAGTGAAGAAGGGGAAGGCCCTCAACAAGATGGATTGACAGTGGCTTCAATGATGGGCT